GTTCGAGTGTGGCGGCGAGTCTGGTTTGAGGAGGGCGGTTGGGGCGTCGGGTTAAGGGAGAGGGGAACAGAGCTGTGCACTGCGTCGGCGGCACGGATCTGATCTCTAGTGTCGGAGGGGAAACTCAGGGGGCTAGGTTGGGAAGCTGGACTATGAACTACGACTCAGCTCTTCCTGTCGGAGTTGGGCTAGTGGTGACTTCGCGCTCGTGGTTCAGGTGGTGACATGGGTTGCGGGCGGTTCTCAAGGCGTCGGCGATGCGGGATCGGGACGGTGCTGGGGGTTCAGGTCAGCGAAGCTGGTGGTCGAGGAGGTGGTTGTTTTCGGTGAAAGTCGCTGTTTTCATTGCTTTTGAATCTGTTACAACTTTAAACGTTACAACAAGAATCGATAAAAAGTCGGTCTTTTTATAAGACCTCCTTGTGCAACAAAACAAAGATTACAACTTTTCGAAAATAAACACGAGATCCCGTTTTGGTGCGGTCTCGCTTGCGTGGGTCTTTGGCCTGTGACGGGGATGTTGATATCCGTGGACCACCGGGGCAATCAGATCCGTTCCGGATAAATCGGACAGAGTTTTGTTGATCCGCGTGAGATCTAGAAACTTCTGATCCAGAAATATCGGACAGAGCTTCGTCGATCCGCGTGAGATCTAGAAGCTATAAGCGTATACCTCGGCTAAAGCGAGGTATTAGCTCTTCTTAGTATCAACGCTAAAGACTAATACTAAGGAAAGAAGGGGGGGAGAGGGTGATGAAGACTGATGTCGACCTCTCCTCCTTGGTTGAAGCGCTCGGTCACTCTTTGCTGCAGCAGGGCTTCGCCAAGGCTCTCCAAAAATCCTCCCTTCAAAAGCAAGGCCCAAGGGGACCCTAGGGTGTCTCGGCTTGGCCGAGACACCCCTGGGGTGTCTAGGCTTTTCCTAGACACCCCCGGGGTATTTCGACATGCCGGGACTCCGTTTAGGTGTATTTCGTTGGTTTCCCTGTAGATTCTTCGTCCGAACTCGGATTTGATTGATTTCGGATGCGTTGGATGCTTAACGAAGAGTTCGATCCGCTCTGGTAATTGGATTATCTGTAGAGTGGCCGAGGCATGAAGGGCGTTGTCCTATTCGTGAACAGTGCCGGGTTCCCGATTGGTCCGGGTCTTGGTTGTTCCGAAACCCTATCCGCTCACGTAGCTCGCCGACTCACTTCAGTCGTTCGTCGACGTCGATTAGGCTCATGTGGATCGGTGTGGATTTTCATCCTCGAACGTTGACTTTTGTCGCAACGCGTTGACTGGCGTTGACCTAGGGTTACGCGTTGACCGGCGTTGACCCTTAGGGTTTTGAATCGTCAAACGTTGATTGGTGTGGATTTTCATCCTCGCACGTTGACTTTTGTTGCAACGCATTGACTGGCGTTGACCTAGGGTTACGCGTTGACCGGCGTTGACCCTTAGGGTTTTGAATCGTCGAACGTTGATTGGTGTGGATTTTCATCCTCGAACGTTGACTTTTCTTGCAACGCATTGACTGGCGTTGACCTAGGGTTACGCGTTGACCGGCGTGGACCCTTAGGGTTTTGAATCGTCAAACATTAATTGGTGTGGATTTTCATCCTCGAACGTTGACTTTTGTCGCAACGCGTTGACTGGCGTTGACCTAGGGTTACGCGTTGACCGGCGTTGACCCTTAGGGTTTTGAATCGTCAAACGTTGATTGGTGTGGATTTTAAATCCTCGAACGTTGACTTTTGTCGTTGACCTAGGGTTACGCGTTGACCGGCGTTGACCCTTAGGGTTTCGAATCGTCAAACGTTGACCGTTGACCTAGGGTTACGCGTTGACCGGCGTTGACCCTTAGGGTTTCGAATCGTCAAACGTTGACTTTTTGTCGCAACGCGTTGACTGGCGTTGACCTAGGGTTGCGCGTTGACCGGCATGGACCCTCAGGGTTTTGATTCGTCAAAGGTTGACTTTTGGTTGCAACCCGTTGAATGGGGTTGACCTAGGGTTACGCGTTGACCGGCGCTGACCCCTAGGGTTTCGAATCGCCAAACGTTGACTTTTCTTGCAACGCATTGACTGGCGTTGACCTAGGGTTACGTGTTGACCGGCGTTGACCCTTAGGGTTTCGAATCGTCGAACGTTGACTCGTGTGGATTCCGAATCATCGAACGTCGATTTTGGTTGCAACGCGTTGACTGGCGTTGACCTAGGGTTACGCGTTGACCGGTGTTGACCCTTAGGGTTTCGTGCATCGAATGTTGATTGGTGTTGATTTTCATCAAAACATCCAATAATCGACGAAAACGGGTGTATTCGGGTCCAAAACAGGCGTACGAGGACAAAACAGGACTCGAGATGCCCGGGGGTGTCTCCCCCTTGGCCGAGACACCTTGGGGTGTCTCGGCCAAGGCCGAGACACCTTGGGGTGTCTCGGCCAAAGCCGAGACACCCTAGGGTGTCTCGGTTTTGGGGCCGAGACACCCCTCTCCCTTCTCTCTTTTTTCTTTTGTCTTTTTCCTCCTTTTGTTTCTTTCCCTTTTCCTTGTTTTGATCCCATTACTTCTTTTGTTTTCCCCCTTCTTTTCGAATTTTCAAAAGAGAATTCATTCCCTCTTAAACCTCTTCTTCTACTTCCATCCCTCCACCATTATTTCTTTTCATTCAAGAAATTAAAACCCATAAAC